GATCTGGTGTGGCTACAGTTTCTTTTGACTTTTGCCACACACATGCAGTTCCAGAAGGTGCAGATGCAGGCAGGGTCAAGTCATTGACCTGTTTGGTGATGGTTTGCTCACAGACTGGCTACATGCATTGCACACCGGTTCGACACAAGAATCAGTTTGATTTGATGGTCAGGGAGTTGCTATCCTTTACTCAACTTTTGGGTCACAGTGAGGTGGTATTCATGTCAGACAATGAACCCACGATGAGACAGCTCTTGCGCATGGTTGTCAATGCCCGTTTGAGCATGGGCCTTGCTACAAGATCCACCACTCCTCAAGCCTACAGTCATGGGAACAGTTTGATTGAAAACTGCATTGGAAGAATCCGTCCTCTTGCAGGAACCTTCATGCACTACATTGCCCAGAAGATCGGCATTGAATTGAGCAGTTCCAATGCACTTTGGAGTTGGGCTATGCGCCACGCTTGCTGGGTACTGAACAGGTACAACACCAATCAAGGTATGAGCAGCTATGAACTGGTGACTGGAAAGAGTTACAAAGGAGCAACATGCGTTTTTGGTGAGCCCCTTTTTCGCTATTCAAAGACAAACGACAAGGGCTCAGCACGATGGTCTCGTATGTTGTTTTTGGGCAAGGTGGACCCACAGGATTCCTTTATCCTATACAATGGCTCAAACTTGGTTTTGGTGAAGTCAGTGCGCCGCATTCAAACAGATTGGCGTGGACACCTGGCATTTTATGTCAATTGCAAGTGCCCTTCCTATGACTACCAGAGTGGTTTTGGAGGTAGAGTGGTCCCAACCAAGGCACACCGTGATGCAATCAGTGCCAGTTTCAAGAAGCCACAAGGCTCAATTGAACCCTCAGCTTTCTATGACGCTGATGGTGCAGCTGTGATCGAGAAGGCCAGGGAAGAGAAACAAGAGGAGTTGGAAAACCAACAGATGAGTCTTTTTGACCGACCTGGCATTGCAGTTGAGGAGGAGTTGGTTCAAGTTTCTGGTGGAACAAGTTTTCCAAACCCTACCAACATCTGGGATGACAATGATGATGACGGCCCGGTGCAACCCAGTGGTTCAGGTGGAGCTCAACCAGTTGATCAGAATGAAGTTCAGTTGGTTGATGATGGGACTGGTGAAGAAGTTCCCAATCCAAGTTTACGTTTGGATGCTCCCACAACACCTTTGCATCTCTTGGAAGCTCCCTCTACTCCTACCTCACCAAGGAGAGACCCTACAGTCAGGGTGCATGAGAATGAAACCGAGGAGGAGCAGTCACAGAAACGACCCAAAGTAGAGGCAGCAAAGAAGGCCAGACTTTCCATGCTGACAGAGGAGCGCAATGCAATGGTGCGCACTGTCAAGTTTGCAGAGGAGGAATATTGCACAATGGACAGTTATGACAACGATCCTCAGATGGATGACCACATGGACCGTGAAGATCCATGGAATGGTGAGGACCAACTTTCTGGTGACAACATGCCAGAATCACTGTGGTCTAGCTTGGACCCTGCAGTGCAACCTCCTGATCCTCCAGCTTGGGTAGACAGGTTGGCCGACAACATTGAGCTTCAGCGCCTCTGCAAGATGGGCGTCCTTATGAAAGAGGAGGACTACCAGATGCCAGTCCACTCAAAGTTAATAACACGTTTTGTGTATGATTGGCGGCTTAAGGATTACAAGGGTCCCAACAATGACCAGCCTGCAGTCAAAAGATGGCTTCGACGCAGCCGATGCGTTGCACGTGAATATGCATTCCTTGAACGCCGTGAAGACACTTTTGCACCTGCAAGCTCGACCCATGTGCTCAATCTTTTGCCCCTTCTTTGGTTGCAAAAGACCGCTGATCACCAAGCAGCTGAAGGTACAGACACTGACAGTGACTGGATTCTTGCAACATTGGATGTCAAGGACGCATTTCTGATGGTTCCACAACCTGAAGTGCTGAAGATCAAGGTTGGTGATGAGAGCTATGTCGTGCTCAGGAATTTGCCTGGACAAAGGCAAGGTGCCAGAAGCTGGTATCAGTTCTTGCGAGCTTTCCTCGACAAGACCTTCAACGTTGAGTGGTGTCCTGGGCAGCCTTGTTTGTGCAGAGGAGTGGAGTTTTGTCTACTCACCCATGTGGATGACATCATGTATGCAGGATCGAGAAAATTCTGGCATGAAGTTTTTCTCCCCGCTTTTCAAAAGGCTTTCACAGTGAGCTACAATGAGCTTGGAGATGTTGGAAGTGAAATCAGTTTCCTCAAGCGCCGCATCAAGAGACTTCCAGGTGGTTTAGCTCTGATTCGTGGTACAAACATTGATGCTTTGGTTCAGAAGGTGGAAGCCAAGCTTGGGCATGTGCGTTTACAATCCATGCCTGGAGATGCAAGTTTGCAGCGTGAAGATACAACAAAGGAGCTCTCAGGAAGTGATGCAAGCTTTTACAGAATGGCAGTTGGAGTATGCCTATATCTCTCAAGAGATCGACCCGACATCGTCTTTCCTGTCAAGGAGTTGGCTTCTCGAATGAGCAAGCCTACCATTGGATCACTGCAGAGTATGAAGAAGCTGGTTGGATATTTGAAATCTACCCAGGACTATGCAGTGGTGCTTGAACAACCAGTTGGTGGCAGTGGACGATGGAAGCAATCCAACGACAAGTTTTGGATTCTCGAAAGCTTCAGTGACAGTGATTGGTCAGGCGACAAACGACACCGTCGATCAACATCAGCTGGTATGCATCTTTTGCGCGGTGCCTACATGTTTGGCTCCAGCCGCACTCAAAGGGTCATTAGCCTCTCTTCCTGTGAGAGTGAACTCCATGGAATGGTTTCAACGTTGGCCGATGGCTTGTTTCTGCGACGTTGTGCAGAATTTGTTACAAGGGCCACCATTGAACACTACCTGCTGACAGACAGCAGTAGTGCGCGCCAACTTGCCGCCAGACAAGGAGTCGGCAAAATCAAACACCTCAGCGCCAAGATCCTTTGGATTCAGAACTTGGTCCAAGAGAAAACAGTGATCCTGTCCCAGATCTCTACAATCTGGAATGTGGCTGACGCAGGCACCAAAGTGCTCAGCTCAAAGAGATTGCGTTTGCTACTCCACCAACTTGGTGTTTTCCTGAAGTTTGGAAACGAGCGTGTGGGGCAGGGGAGTTTCAAGAAACATCTCAACGCGCTGGTGGACGTGACATGGCTCAGCTGGCAAAGATGGTTGCCAGAATCATTGCAACAATGGGCCTTGGGCCAACAGGCGCGATGGGTCAGCCAACATGCATGGCGGACTCAGCCCCTTCAACTGACAAGTGGTGGTTCAAAGTTGGAGTGATGGTTTTGGTTCTCATCCTGGTCGCATTTGCAATTGGATGTTTTGTGGTACGCCGCTACGTGAAGAGACTACTTCACGACCTCTACCATCTTTCTGTTCAAGTTGCAGAAGCCGACACCACAATCGGTGAACATATGGTTGCAGTGCCACAACTTCGAAATGAGGTCAATGGTTTACGTTTGCAGTTGGATGATGTGAGTCAGCGATGTGCCGTGCTGACGACTCAACTTGCACAACATGAAACAGACATGGACGCAGTAAGCGATCGACAGGATGGTCTGCACTATGGTTTGGTTGAGTTGGGAGGATACGTCCGAGCCCACGAGTTGACAGCAGCTCAAAGGCGCCACATGTTTTCACAGGAACGTGGCAATTTGGTTGCAAGGACAACTATGGGTGCCAGCCAGTACCTCAGGACAATCAGAACACAGTCCAGAGGTTACACCCATGGTGAAGATACAGATCCTCCAGTTGAACCAGAAGTAACTGCTGCCAGTTCCAATGCAGCAGCAGCAGCAACAGCTAGCAGCAGCAGACCCCACAACGAGGTGAATGCCGAGAATGCAGAGAGTTCAAACCCCACTTCTGACATGGAGGTGGACAGTGTCACACTGAACCCAAATCGAGACATCAGTACACGTCGTGGAGAACTTGAGGTGACAATCGATGACCTGCGGACAGAATTGGACCAGGCCTTGACTTCAGAAGCCTGGGAGGATGCTGCAGAGCTTCAACATACAATTCTGATCTTGCTGGATCGGTTGCAGACTCATGACTTACGTGATCGAGATGCCAGACGTGAAACTTTTCAGCGTATGGCTGATCGCATGGAAAACCTTTCCAGACGTGCCCGAAATCGAGGAGATGGAGTGTTAGCAAATCAATATATGGACTATGCAGCAAGCTACAGGAATTCAGTTTGAGCTTTTGGGGAATGGAGGCTACTCCCCAATTAATGCCTCCCTTTTGCTTTCGAAGATTCTCAAAGAGAAGACAGGCGATGTCAATCAATGCCTGTGATTGGAAGCAACGATGTTTCAAAAGGGAAAATTGTGTCTGGAAACATGCAGGGGCTGCGACAATTTCTTGGGTGATGTGCCCAGTTGAAACTCAGGCACACCAAGGAGGAGTGCAAAGAAATTCCAGTTGTACTCACATGTTTGCATGGCCACCTGCATCAGGATGACACAGCACAAATCGAGAAGTCTTGGACCTTTTGCAATAGCTTTTGATGCACATGAAAATCATGTGAATTACATGCCTAAACTCAGGCCCTGCGGTTCAAGTGGAAAAAGGTGAGTGAGTTTCAGTCGCCACTTTGCATTTATCCCCTTTGAGTTTGAAGATTTCTGATTTTTGCTTTTGGCAGTCTTGACACAATTCACCCCATACACTTACCATATATTTACATATAAAACTATTTCTTTAAATGTATTTTTACAAGAAATATTTTTTACAGGAAAATTTCTATATATTTTTTCCTTAATCTGGGGTCTGGGGTAAGCAATCCTAACAGGTCAAGGATAGGGCATCCCAGCAGGTCAAGGATAGGGCATCCCAGCAGGTCAAGGACAGCACCTAATTTACACATTTTTAGAGGCATCCCAGCAGGTCAAGGATAGGGCATCCCAGCAGGTCAAGGACAGCCCATCCTAGCAGGTCAAGGACAGCCCATCCTAGCAGGTCAAGGATGGGAAAACCTCAATAAGTAAAGTTTCACAAACATATGTATCAAAATTAAGGATATTTTTGATAAATATGTTGCTATTGAACATTTAATATTTTCAATGTTTCACCCTTGTATTTTCTTGGTTTTGTTGCTTTCACTTTATTTTTGTTTTCTTCTGTATCTTCTTTGTTCTCTTCATAGTCAATATCTTTCAGTTCAATTTCTCCATTCTCTGCCATTTTATCTAATTTCTTTCTTCTGTTGTATCTTATGGCACTTGCTCTTTTGGTTTCCATAAAATCTTTATCGTGTCTCCTTTTTTGATAATACAACCTATTATACAATGCCAACTGTTCTTTAATCTCTTCCAATGTCATATTTTCAGGTGTTATTGAGGTCATAATACTATATATTTATAATAAAATATTTCTTTAAATATATATTTTACAAGATGTATTTATTGACTTTTATAAGCATCCTTAATTATTTGAAATAATTGTGTTTTATAAACCTCCCTCATTTGTTTTAACAGTTGTTTCTTAACGGTGTCTCTACCTCTGGAAGCAAACCAAGTTTTGTAAAGATTGTCAAACTGTTCGTATTGCTCTTTTGTAATCATACCCTTATTATTAGCATTGACAAATTCTTCTCTCAATCTCTGAACTCCTATTGTGCTTGGTCCGACGGGTTTTTGTATGGTCTTTCTCACCCCCTTCTTGTTTTTGGGTTCATCATCCTCATCATCTGCTTCATCACCTCCGCCTAATGCCATGTCGCCTTTCTTATATCTGCGTTTTCTTTGTTTGGGTTCTTCTTCTGGACTGCTCCCCTCTCTCTTATCCGCACTGGGTCGCGATGTATCGGGTTTTTGGTGCTTCATATTGGGTCTTCCTCCTTTGCCTTCTATTTCTGGCGTTGCTCTTTTGCTACTGCTACTTACCTCCATTACATCTACACTTGGAATTTGTAAAGTATCTAATGATGATGCCGATGCTGATGCTTTTGCTTTCCTTTTGGGTTTGGGTTTTGGTGGTTGTGCTTCATTATCAGTTGCTATTGAAAAAACATGTGGTTGTGATGCCATTGATGGTTTTGGTATTTGTGTTGGTTGTGGTCTCCCGAGCGGGGCATAAATTTGGGGATGTCCCTTTGGATAAACCAACCCTTCTGCTATTGTCGGTTTATTTTGTTTAAATACTTCTCCTCTGTGGTTCATTGTTGTTTCTTCTTTTCGTTTAGTTGCTGTATTCTCTCTTTGTTGTAGTTCAGCATTCAATTGAGATGCTTGTTGAGTGCTTGAACTTGGCATAGTTGGAGTTTGATTTGGCATTTCTTCTTCTACATCCATGGGTTGAGTTGGTTGAGCAATTGTTGGTGATTGTAAAGGTAGTTGCTGTGCTCTTGCTGTGTGAAAGGTTCTTCCTGCTGTTCTTACATTTTGCCTTAAAAGGAGTTCTGACATTTGCCTCATTAATAATCTTGCCTGTTCTTCTTTAAGTTGCTCCATACTATCTGAACCATCAAAATAAGAACCTTCTGGACTATTTCTAAACATTGTTGCCGACCTATCAGGAAGTTTCCCAGTTATTTTTTCATTACTCTCATCAATAATCCCTATTATTTCGTCATAGGTGGGACGACGTTTTAACCCGTAAATACTATATTTATCTACTTTTGCTGTCATAATATAAAATATTTTAGGTAAAATATTTTATATTAAGTAAAACTTTAATTTCTAAATTGATTTATTTGATGCTGTAAATGTTCTAATGAGTTGTGATTAAGATTATCTCTTTGTATTTCATTATTCATTCTGTCAATTTGATTTCTATAATTAACTCTTTTATTTGCTTCAATTATATCATTTCTTATACTTATCATTTTGTCTCTTGTCTCTCTTTTATCCAGTTGGTCTTTTAAGTATTTTATATAACGAGTGTCTTGGTGTTTGAATATACCATAGTTATTCCCTGATGCTGGTTTATTCATTTGTTTCTTCCAGTTGGTCATTGTTTGTTTCTTCCTGTATGCTTGAAACATTTTCTATATTATTATTGAGATAATTTTGATGTTTTTTAGTTCTACAATGTCTGCTAATACTTCCTCTTGTAATAACTTTCCCGCATTCACAAGTGATTTTCTCCTTGTATTTCTGTTGATGTTCTTTGTAGTAGTCTTTATTTTCCTGATAGTAGTTTTGGTTGTATTCTTTCATATACTCAGGGTTTTCTTCTCTAAATCTTTTGCTGTTTTCATCTAACTTTTCTTTATTGTTTTCTCTGTATTGTTTCCTGTATTCCTTCCTTGGATTGTTTATATGTCGTTGTCTTTCATATTCCTGTAAATGCTCTTGACTGTCTCTTCTCCATTCCTCTGTTGTTCTCATTGGTATTTGTATATTCAATACTGGTTCTTTCTAATATGTAGTGCCGTTCTCTCTTTTGTAGTTCTTCAACATCATTACAAGGGCATTTTTCAATTTCTTCAATATAAAAGCATTCAACACCCAACTCAATCATTTTAGCATACAATTTTCTATGCTTTGCCTTTTCATTGTCAATATTGATTTTATGTTTGTTAAATCTTCTTTTAGCGTTTGGGTTGTGCTTCCAATGTAAATATCATCATCTACATAGTTCCCAATGAAATATATTTTACCCTTTTGATACTTTTTATCACCTAAACTCACCATTAATTACTATAAATAACTTATTTTTAAGTATATTTTTTTTCTAATAGTAATTAATTAATTTAATGAAAAATGAATTAGTCGAATACAATTGCCCCACTTTCAGTTAATTCTACCACGCTCTCACTTACCAGATTTACAAAAATTTCTTGGACTTGTTCTGTGTCTGCTAAACTTCCTTCTGTTCCTTTCAATTTAAAAGTAATCAAAGAACCCATCTTTGTATTAGTTCCTGTGAAATTGACATCTGCCATCTTTTCAAAACTGAATGCCATTACAAATTTATTAGAGCGATACTGTTTATAACTGATGTTTAATGAGTTTTGGTCGGCATTCATATAGTGTAATGTTCGGCGTAAAAAGTAGAATGCTTCTGATAAACTACTCACTTCGAACTCAGGATACTTCTTTGAAGCAATTTGAAGTTGGTAAGTAAGTGCCCTGCTACTGTCAGCAAATCCCTTTCCTTCTTGAAGTGGCAATGTTTCTGCCAATGGACCGTCATTAATTTCACCATTAATCATAGGATTGTAAAAGTAATTCCACCGCTTATGGACGTATCCATCAACTAAATAGTTAGAATATCTTTCAAAGTTCCTTGGTGTTCTATATAAAGTAATGAAGGCATTAGTCAATTTTGATGCTGACTTAACAATATTCATATTAATTTCACCTCCACCGGTATTGAATGTTTGTGTAATAGTATGGTATTGAGGGACAATAAGTTTTAAACTTTGACCCTCTAACAAATGTTTTGTAATATTATTATCAACTGTATTATCCAATGTGATTACATCAGCACGGATAATGACATTGTTGATTTCCCAACTTGTAGAAGTGTTGCCATCTTGAAAATAATATCCGTTCTTGTCAGTTTGTGTTGTTCCATCACCATAAGGCACTACAATAGGTTCATTGCCGTCTGATACAATTGTAAATTCTAATTCCAAAGGAGCAAAACGCAATGGTAAATAATAATTACTTTCTAACAATCCACAGCAGGGTTTATGAGAAAGGCGGACTTTTGAATTAGCACCGGGAATTCCACTTAATGAATGTCTTGTATGTCTAAAATCAATGCGCCCATACTCATTATGGTCTCCTGCTGTATCAACGGTTGCTACACCACCAGCATCAGTTGCCCCCGATGTTGTATAGTCAATCATATTATTCAATCCATTAGCATATTTGTGGTAGTCATCATCCCAAGAAGGATTAGCACTGCTTTCAATGTCATCCATTTCATTAACATCTTTTGACTTGAAGGATTTAAATAACTCACAATGGCGGTTATATTCAATGATGTCCTGAACCATTTGTCCTCCCACTGTTGCTCTGTATCGTTGAAAGAAACTGTGTAATCCACCCAATGGTCGTAAGAATTTTGCCCGTGTGCCATCAGTGTTTTGAACATAAGCGAATAAACGGACACTGCTTAAATCTAAATATTGGTTTGCCTCACCGCTGATATAAAATCTAATGTTTTTGTTTCCAGCATTTGGGGCATATACATTAGACCCTGATGGAAAATAATTAACCTGTCTTCTATCAGTGATGTATTGCGAGGTTTGTGGTAATCCAAAGTTAAGATTATTAATCATAATATCTTCACTCTCTGCGACTATATTATCCATAACTTCTATATATTTTGTTTAGATTTTATATTGAAAATCTAAATAAAATTATTTTTTCTTTTGATGAGGGATTAACTTAACAGTTTTTGATTGAATATTATTACTTATTTTTTCTATACTATTTTCATTAGTTTCTATCAACTTTTTAATAGTATTATAGTCTTTGGGTGCTTCATTCATTTCTTTCTCCAACTTCTTATATGCTGACCGTCCTTTTGTTGAAAGTATTGGTTTTTGTTGATGTTTGTAATCTATTTTTGAAAACATTATTAACATAGTTTATATTTTAATTGGTTGATTGGGTGATATGCCATTTGAAATTGAATTGGTAGGATTGATATGCCACAAACCGTTGCCTTCAAATGGAATATAGGAATGTGCCATTAACATATTCCATTCACCTGTATTTTTAGTTTCAGCATATCCATCTAACATTGAAACTGGGTCATTCTTGACCCTGTAATCCTTATGCCTTGGGTCTTGCTTCCCTTTCCTCTTTCTTCTGATGGTTGGTGTGGCATAAGTGGTAGTTGCGTATTTATCAGGCATATCTTGATTGATTTTATTGATTACAGCACTTGCCAAACTGTGTCCAACTAATCTTTTTATTTCAGGTGATTGTTTTAATTCTTTCATTACATCATTATATTTTTCAGTTTTATCAGCATTTCTGGTAGGTAATAAAAGTAAGTCATCCATTATGTCTCTCGTCAATG